TACTCCGTAGTTGGCATATCAATGAACTATACTACAAGGGTGGCGTTGTCGGTCCTTTTAGAGATGCCAACTGTACCGTTGATTTCAGGTGTAGTAGCTTATAAAGTAAATAAGACGCTACAAAGTGGCTCAAGAATACATCGTCTCTTTGGAAAGCTGGTCCTTTTTGATAAACTGACAGGTAGGCTGTGCATGGGCAAAAAGGAGTCAGAAAAGGGCGAAGTTGAGGGGTCGATACGAGCAAAGAGTCTATTTCGTCCGATCAGCATAGCATCACAGGTAGAGAGCCGTATTCGTTTCAATCGGGCGAGTTTTCGTCCGACAAACGCAGGCTGAGCAGACCAACATTGGAATATTATTGGGTTACTCAAGACGGGTACAACAAGCGGTGATAAGAGGCTCAAGAGTGCGTATGCAGCTCGTATTTGGCAAGCATGACTGGACCAGAATGAGTCTTTGGATGAGCTGGCATATCGGCCTAAAAGTTAGTCGACGGTGTTCCCTTTTTGTTGGCTGTGTGACGACCCTCTTGATTACCAATTGGGGGCCAAGACCCTGAGCGTCATGTGCCCCATGCCAATAAGCATGGCCATGGTAATTTTCCCAGCCCAGACTTTTTATGGCCTGATCCCAGTAATAGGTGACGTAGACATGGAAGAAAATAAAGGTGCTGACTCCACCGGCTTTCACTGTACTTTGGATGAGGACGCGTAGGAAGAAATAAAAATGCTGCCTGGGGAGGTGAGGCTCTTTTGGAACGGAATTGTGGTCTTTCCGGCTGCCGAGTTTCCATTTTAAGACAGTGGAACCGGTGGAGAAACGGTACCGTACCCGCCGGGGGCCACGCGGGAGCCACCTCAAATGGCTGGCCTGTTTAATTACGGTTATTGGTTTACCATACAAACTTTTTCCACGGCCAATCACCGGCCGTAGAATGTGCTCAGCCTTCGCATTCTATACCAATTCGGTCTTAGCGCCTTCGTCTATCAGGCAGACATCCAACACGCAATGAGCCTCCGGTCCCTTCTCTTCCTTGATCCGCTTGTTCCCCCCGTCGTCTGTTGTTCGTGTTATTCTTCATTTCAAATCCTATTTGGCTATTCATCGCTGTCTTCAGTCTAAGGATCCTAAAGATTTCATATTTAGTGGGGCTGACCGCTTGGAACCCATCTTGGACGTTATATCTCAGGAACATTGGAATCCCATCAGTACTTCGAATTCGGCGAATTCATTTCACCCTAGGATATCGCAATCCTTGATTAAAATCCTTTTGAGCTGGTGTTCTTGATACGCTCTGTCTCAAACCCCGCTTTGAAGTTTTCCGACCCCGCGACACGTTGGATTGGAGTGCATGTTCTTCCAGAGGCTCTCATACGATCGCTATCGTGATAGATCTTCAGGGCCCTCATACCGGCTCAACCATTCGGCTTTAATCAACCCTGGTTGGGATCCAAGAGAGGTGGTGCTGTTATATACCAAAGAACGAAGATCATCCGCATCAAATCGAGGCTTGCATCTCTGACTCGACCGTACGTCACTTCGCTAATCATTTGGTCAACTCTCCGGTGAGTCATGCGATGCGCCAATCAGCCGCAATCCACTGTTCCTTTCCTGACCGAGAATGTATACTAAATTCTGGCCGACATAGTACTACGCCCAATAATGTCTTCTATTCAGACTGAGCCGACGCGGGTGCACCCCCGTCGTCGGCCGGGCTTAAACCGCGGTCTTCCCCCCGACTCGCCCCGCGCTTAAATGCACCGGAAAAAAGGAGAGGCATGACCATCCCCTACATCGACGCCCTCCCGCCAGCG